ATAATGTTCTACATGTTCCTTCATTTAACTGCAATCTTTTATCAGTCAGCAAGATTACTCAACAACTGAATTGCCTGGCAATTTTTTTCCAACCTTTCGCATTCTCTAGGACCCACACTCCAAGATCGTGATTGGGACGGGTGAGCTCCAAAATGGATTGTATTATTTCACTTTCCATTCCAACACCAACCACTCACAAACTACTTATCATTCCACCTATGTCATCAATTCCACACTTTGGCATATATGCTTGGGCCACACCTCACAAGGTCGTCTTGCTCTCATTTTGGAGTCAATATGGCTGACTGGGAAAACTATTGTGATATTTGTCACAAAGATAAACAAGATCGCCTACCATTTCAAATCAACAATACTCGCAGTAACTCACATTTTTCCTTGACACATTGTGGCATATGGGGCGGTTACAAGACCCCCTCTCATTCAAGGGCAAGATACTTCTTAACTATAGTAGATGACCACACGAGATGTGCGTGGGTCTACCTCTTAAGAAATAAATCTGAGGCTGGTCATTTTCTTATATCTTTTCGTGCTATGGTGAACAGGCAATTCAATACCAATGTAAAGCAAATTCATTCTGATAATGGTTTGGAGTTTTTTTCTGGGCCTCATGTGTACAAACACCCCAACAAAATGGAGTGGCAGAACGGAAACACCGCCATTTACTAGAAGTGGCCTAGGCCTTGAGATTTCAAGCTCCCCTCCCTCTTCACTTTTGGGGGGAATGCAAACTTACAACCACGTAAATAATAAACTTACTACCCACTCCCTCACTTTCTAACATTTCCCCTTATGAAGCCCTTTTCCATCAACCACCCTCCTACCATCACTTAAGAGCCTTTGGATGCCTGTGTTACGCTCAAATTCATCCTCGGCCTCATGACAAATTTGCAGCTCGGGTTACACCTTGCATTTTTGTGGGTTATTCACATGGCCAAAAAGGCACTAGGTTTACTCTCTTGACACACAAAATATTTACAAGTCATAACATCATCTTTTATGAGGACCGCTTCCCCTTCTAGCATGGCCTCTCAACCTTCTTCCCACATCACCAATCCGTTCTTCCTTTATCCACTTCTGATGACTGTGACTATCCTAGCCCACTCCAACCACCCACTTAGCACAATAACCCACTCGCTAATACTAGTACGCCCATAATCACCAATCCTAACATCATAACTGAGCCCACTCAAGGTCAACTCCCATTGTTGTCGATACACCTAAACCCATTAGTTAGCCCAACACTTTGCTTCCCACCAGTTCTCGGCCAAAAAGACATACCACTATTCCCACACACCTTCAAGACTACATTTTCCAACTTCCCCCTTCCACCTCCCGATCAAACCAAGCATCCATTGAAGTTGAGCCCAAATCCTATTCTCAAGCTGCCCAGGACCCACATTGGCGTCAAGCTATGGCAGATGAAATCGCAACACTTGACTGCAATAATAGTTGGATCATCACCCCTCTACCTCTTGGCAAACAACCCATAGGAGAAAAATGGGTTTACCACATGTAAGGCTGATGGAACCATAGAGCGCTTTAAAGTGCAACTTGTTGCAAAAGGCATCACCCAGGTTGAAGGCCTCGATTACCATGATAATTTCGTCCTATGACCAAACTTTCCACTGTTCATTGCTTACTTGTTGTAGCTGCCATTAAGGGCTAGGATCTACATCAGCTAGACGTGAATAATGCCTTTCTTCATGATGATCTCCATGAAGAAGTATATATGAGTATTCCTCAAGGTTTTGAATCAGCAAATCCCACTCATTTTGCAAACTACAAAAGTTACTCTATGGCCTCAAACAAGTCTCCTGCATGTGGTTCGAAAAATTTACTCAAGCACTCCTTTCTTTGGGGTATTGTCAATCTTCTCTGGATTATTCCCTATTCACATGCAGTTATGGGAAATTCTTTTGTTGTTGTGCTTGTATATGCTGATGATGTCATCCTAATAGGAAATGGCAATATGTGCATTCTCTCTCTCAAGAAACACCTTGATGATCATTTTGGCATAAAGGATTTGGGTCCACTCAAAATTTTTCTTGGATTAGAGGTATCTCGATCAACTTCTGGGATTTTCCTAAATTAGCATAAATATGCGCTTGATATTCTTCGAGAGACCGGTATGACTGAATGCAAACTTTGCTCTACACTTATGGAACAACATAATCATTTTGTTGATAGTTCTAGTGCTCCATTATCCGATCCAACTCAATATCGAAGACTTGTTGGACAACTTGTGTACTTAACAACCACTCATCCAGACCTTGGCTTTGTTGTCAATTACTTGAGTCAATTTATGCATGCTCCCAAGCAAGAGCATTACAATGCTTCCCTTCGAGTGGTGTGTTACATCAAAGGCATAATATCTCATGGCATCTTCTTCTCAGCTTCTAGTATACTGCAACTCCATGGCTTCTACAACTCTGATTGGGCGAGTTGCCCCCTCACTCGTCGCTCCACCATGGGTTACTTAACATTACTAGGAGACTCCCCCATTGCTTGAAAAATCAAGAAACAACATACAGTCTCCCGTTCATCTGTTGAAGCTGAATATCGAGCCATGACCGTCCCAACATCTGAACTCATTTGATTAAAACGTCTCCTTACTGAATTGACAATTACTTTGTCTGAAGCCCTAACACTCCATTGTGACAGTAAGGCAGCTTTGCACATAGCAGCCAACCCCGTGTTCCACAAGCGGACAAAGCACATTGAAATTGATTGTCACTTTGTTCGTAACTACATACAATGAGGTGATCTCATGACTGCTCATATCTCCAGTGCCTCTCAACTAGTAGACCTCTTCACTAAGGCTGTCTCCATAGATTGCCTTTTATGCCACTTACCCAAGTTGGGCATCCAAGATGATCCAACTTGAAGGGGGTGTTAGAGGATTCATGAACATTCAAGAGAGTTCATTGACAATTGGGTTTGGTTACTTCAACATCCGGATTAGTTACAAGAATTTCTTCCATGTGCTCTAAGTCTTGTATCTATATATATCTTTCTAATTAATCAATGAAACATGATTGCCTTCTTTGTCACCAAATACCAATCTACATAACTAGTTCTATTTCACTCTAAAACCACTCTTAGACCAAAAATTGTTGACTTAATTAGTGATCCATTGACTCGGGCAACCGAATTGTCGATCCAAATAATAGTTTTTTGTCGTTTTTTAGTTTAACTATTTTTTAATTTTTTTTTTTTAAATCAGAATGGGTCATTCCTTCAAACCAGATAGTTGGACCATTCAACCCAAAAATTGGTGGTTAAAATGGTTGTATGTCTGGTCTAGTTTTCAAAACCTTGATTAAAAGACTTAAATTTGGATTATTATCATTAGAATCAATGTTTTAAAAACAGACCTGAAATTAAAACCACTTTGGCCACCAATTTCCAAGTCAATAGTTTGAATGTATAGTTCAAAGGGATGACCCATTGCAATTTAAAAAAATAAAAAAACTAGTCAAACACATTGTTTGGGTTGAATGGGTCAACATGTCACTAACCAAATAAATGGTTTTTGCCAAGAAATAAAGTTAAGGGTGAAAAAAAACTTGTCATTTGGACAGTTTTCAGGTCCAACGATTCGACCGTCCAGGTCTATGATGGTTTGGAAACCATGATTAGAATAGTACTCATTACTAACTATATATAAAGATTCCAAATTTTCATTAATATTATTGATACCAATTTTACTATAAATAAGGTCAATCTTGAGAATTGTCTCGGCTCCTCTTGTAGGACCCATTTGATCTCAACCCTCACCAAATTTTAATTAACAATGATGATTACATTAAAATACCTCGAAACAATTTAATTTTAGGTTGTATTTTTCCATGTCAAAATTTTCTCCATTTTTGTTTTATTTTGAGAATGTCAACCCTCCTTTTATATGAGTATAAGGGAGAAACATTCTTATCTGAAATACCCTCCTTGGAGATTAACCACCATTTTTGGAAAATGTAGAAGTTAACCTCTTCCTTTGAGTTGTGCAATTTCTCTAGGACTTCTAGAGTTTGTAATAGAGTAGCTTATGGCCAGACTTGCACAACAAGCTTGTCACATTTGAAACATGTGAATATGTTCTCTTTGTGCATGAACTCATTGTGTCCCGTATTCCTTGATGTCAATTAGTTGAGTGGCATGTGCTATGCATGTGAACAAGTATTAACCATATATATATGGTATATAGTCTTTGTTTCTAATTTTTAGGGTAAAATACAAAAATCTCCCCTGAAGTTTCTGACAATCATAAAAACCTCCCATACAGTTTCACTTTAGCAAAAACCTCCCCTCAAAATTTAAAAAATTCAACAAATACCTCCCTTCCAGCAGTGACCAAGATGAAAAACGTTAAAGAGATGATCATTTTTTCAAAATACCTATTTTAGCCTTTTACGAATGAATGTGCATCTTGTTTTTACTAAAATAGCCCTGTCTCAGCAACTCCATAATCCACTCGAACATTGTTCATCTTCTTCCTCATGATGGACAATGGAAAAATGGCGGTGCACTCCCTCCAACCTTCCCAGTTTTTACTAAAATAGCCCTCTCTCCTTTCTCAATCCTTTACTACTTCTTTTGGGGGGTAGCCGGGGCTCCAGCTAGCCGGTTGTAGCTAAGATCAATCGTCCAAATTTTAACCTAGTTCCACGGTCAAACAGGGTCGCTGAATAGGTTCCTCTATAGCCCTACCTTTGTTTAATTGGCAGTCGCGCTACCTAGTTGACCGTTATCGAGTTCATAAGATAATGGCACATCGATTATATTGGGTCATCCAAATAGATTCTCATCATCTTTACTGATACACCACCATAGGATCATCACAACTATGTATCATCCCAAACTTTCATACAACGATAATCTCGATTTTGTGTTTATCTACAAACCAATAAGCATTTGGGTAGCTTTTCCCTTTTTTTCATTTGGAAAATTTGGGTGTCTTTGTCATAGAGGATGAGAAAGAAATGAAGCACCTAGAAACCTTAGAAGGAGCAGAGTTTCGTCTCCGCCTCTTCCAGATTGATCTCCTCGACTACGATTCTCTTATGGCTACGATTAATGGAACCGTCAGTATATTCCACCTTGCTTCCCCCTACATTGTGGATAAAGTCAAAGACCCTAAGGTCCATTCTCAGAGGCTCTGAGGCAGAACAGATGAAAATTAATTTTATTTAATTAATTGTTGTAATTACGTTGTGTTCATTTCTTCCTTTTCTTTTAATATTACAATAATAGAGAGAGCTTTTGGATCCGGTGATCAAAAGGACGATTAATGTGCTGAAAGCGGCGAAGGAGTGCGAGGTGAGATGGGTGGTGGTAACATCATCAATCTTCGCCATCATACCAAGTCGGTACTGGCCTGCAGATGTTGTCAAAGGGGAGAATTGCTGGACGGATGTTGACTATTGCAAGCATACCGGAGTGAGTTTTCTGATTACCTTTCTTGTTGTTTCTAGTTGAGGTCCGAATATCCGATTAGTCAATTAGCTTTTTTTTTATCCAGCTAATTTGTCTTCTATAATAGCTTTGGCCTAATTTACTATGAGGCTCAACCTTTAGCTACAAAGGAATTCAGCGGCCTTGTTCGACCGTGGAACCAAGTCAGAATCCGGACGATTGATCTTAGCTACAACCGGCTAGCCAGAGCCCCGGCTACCCCCTAAAAGAAGCAATAAAGGATTGAGAAAGGAGAGAGCTATTTTAGTAAAAATTGTGAAGGCTGGAGGGAGGAGTGCACTGCCATTTTGTCACCATGCCTCGTGAGGAAGAAGATGAACAGTGTTCGAGCGGATTATGGAGTTGCTGAGATAGAGCTATTTTAGTAAAAATAGATGCACATTAATTCGTAAAAGGGTAAAATAGGTATTTTGAAAAAATGGTCATCTCTTTAATGCTTTTCATCTTGGTCATTAGGTATTTGTTGAACTTTTCAAAAATAAAGGGGAGGTTTTTGTTAAAATAAAACTATAGGGGATGTTTTTATGATTGTCAAAAACTTTAGGGAAGGTTTTTATATTTTACCCTAATTTTTATGATTTACATCGAAATCAAGACAAGTATCCACTTGATATGATAGAGGTTATGTTTGGTTCTGTGGATGTTTATTGGAAAAATGTTGTCACATCAATGCCACTTAGGCATTGTTGTTTATTGTGTGTGCATAAAGCCTTTGTTTGGTTTCAATAATTATTAAATTAATATAAAAAAACAAAAATGCTAGGATTTATGTGCATGAGGCATTGAGAGAAACTTCATACTCTGACTTCTCCTAATGCCCCAATGTTTATTGAAATGAAATGCTTACCTAGAGCATTGTAAGTTGAGGTGGAAGAAAGCTTTATGGGGTGTTACTCGAAACATCTAACCAAACAACAAAAACAATAAACATTTAAAGTAATGCTTTTCAATTAGACTTTTATTTGAGAAACACCCCATCTATAAATGTCTACGGAACTCAACACATACATAATATAGATATAAATAAGATGATTTTGACTTGTGTCAAAAAAACAAGAAAAGATTCTATCATGAAATCCAACTTAGGCCTTGTTTATTTTTCAGGGAGCCATTTACTTGGGTAACATTTCTTAGGAACATTTACCTAGGTAAGTATACTTACCAATGTTGTTTTGTTTCCCAAGTAAAGTTAGGGCCCGTTTGGCAAGTCTTTTTGAGAAGATCTTCTTATAGTTCTGACAGTCAATAGACATACTAAGTTTTTGACATAAGATCTGGGCAGCTCAAAGACTGTTTGGCAGATGCATGTCTTTCCGTGCATCATTTCGGGTCTTTTCGTGCAAGATTAAAATGTGAAAGACACGGGAAGCTTCATTTGGAGCTTCCCGAGATCAGCCCAAAATGGGCTTCGCACGTCTTTTTGGTGCTGTGTCTTTTGGCGGGTAGATCTTCCACATGCCAAACAGGAATAGACCGATTTTTTGTCTTCCCGGCTTGTAAACAGTCGAAAGACCACGCAAAAAGATGCGCCAAATAGCACCTTAAACTATGATTGTTTTTATCCATAAGAGTGTCCTTTGCGTAGAAAAGTTATTTATGCAAGTAGACGTAACGTAATACTTACCCAAGTAACTATCACACTAATATGGAAAATGAATACAAATAAAATGGTCCCATGTCTCCTATTTCAAAACATAGAAAATTTCACTTCAAAACTATGACAATTAGTTTAAGTTTTTGGGTCTGTAGCACACCAATAAGCACTTATTTGAGAAGTTCAAATTTTAGGCTTATTTTTAAGTGCTTATTTTCTTTTTTGTCTGTCTGGGCCTACTATATCATTTTGAAAATACTTATAGTATCCCTGTTTAAAATAACTGCTTTTTTCATCAAACACTCATGAGCATTTATTAAAATAAATATTTATTTTTCAAATAAACACTCCCAAACTCCGCCTTAATTAGTTATATCTGATGTGTCCAAACATAGCCGCTTGATGTTCCAAACCCAAACCTCTCATATCATCGTTATTGATAAACACCAGAATAAGCGATATTCACTGGGCCGAGAGCACCCCCTCGAGTAAAGGCTTCCACAGCCGGTTGACCAAAATGAGGATCCCAAATTGCATGAGCAATAGCAACATCGCAAGCTCAACCCCCTTTCTGCTCATCTCATCTGTGGTTATATTTCATAATATTGACTTCCTAGAAGAAAGAAAAGACGTTTGAAGTCCAGTTTGGGATGCATTAGAGAAGAAATCCACAAACCCATTTCTTTACTATAAAAAACGAATACAGTTTAGATGCCAATGCTGACTTCATTTCAACCAAAGAGAAAGGGTCAATCTAGTGTGTTCATAATGTGCTCTAATTAGCTATTGGGTTAAACGCAGCCCCGTCCATGGAATTGTTCATATTAGAAGGGCCTAGTAGTCCATCCAGAAAAGTCCTTCCATCGCTCTTGTCCTTTTGTTTTAGACAAGAAATATCAAATAAGATAAATGTCGATTCAAGTTTTTGAATAGAAAGCGTACGAGAAGAGGAAAAATATTGTTGTTCGTGAGGTGTCTCAAATTGAGGTTACAGTCCCACACACTGAGGTCTACAATTATAGGAATAATCAGAGGCCTGAGTAATTATTTTTCGGATAGACACTCTGACACTTAAGTTAGTGAGTAGCAAAGAGATCGATTCAAGACGAACCAAGGTATGTGGGTTGGTCAAAATCGAGGTAAATGTAAGAAGGGTGCTTGATTGAGTTCTAAGTTCAAAAGTCCCTTTACCTTGAGCGTGGCGTACCTATTTATAGTCGGACATCTATGTTCTACTCGGATAGGGTTTCCGGGGTTGTTGAGATGAGATTGTCCGCTGAGATTTTCGGGGGATTCTCTCTTCCTCGGTGGAATTTGCTTCCTTATCTGTGTGGAACACTACTTCTTGGCCGTGCCCGTCTTTCACGTGGTTTTGGGTAATGATGTTGATGTGGTCCTAAGAGGGAGGTCATGGAGTCAACCACGTGGCACCCTTGGCCAACTTAGCAACCACCTAAACAAATACTAACATTTTGATTGTTCTTTATTTTATGGTCTCTTTGGTTTGCTGGAATAGGGGTTTAGAATCGAGACCGGCCCATTCCAATTCCAACCATTTGGTTGAGCAAAATGGGATTTCAATTCCCATTCCTGATGGAATGACATTGCCCGGCCTCCCCCTTGGGAATCAGAATCTCATTCTAGTCGACAAAATAAAAAACAAGTGACTTCAAACCCCTAAACCCTATTTCTCTTTTATCAATGTTAATCCTCCTTGAAGAGTCATGCATATCTTATGGAATCCAATTCAGATTTCTGTTTGAACTTGCAAATGGGTGGGGGAATAGACGATTTCAAGGGTACTTCAATTCTGATTCTACCAAACATACCCTTAGTATTTGAGAAGAAATCTTTAGATGGAAGATCAATTACTCTAAAGGAGGTTATTTTGATGGTTTGAATCTTTGATTTTAGAAAATTCATTTGGTCACAAAGAGCACAACATTAATTATACTAAAGGTAGCTAAAATGAATCATGAAATGACTATTAATATATGCTAGTTTCATTAGTAAAAAGATCACATATAGCATAGTTTAGCAAACATAATAGTATGCCTATTAGACTTAGCAAATATTAAAAAAGAAAGATCAACCAACCAAAAAGAAAGGTATGCTATGGAACTCTTATAACTAAAATGCTTAAAATGCTAGATTTTAGCCTTCAAAAGGATAACTAGGCATAGGTGGAGTTCTATGATTGGTGCACCTCTCCTTGTTCATCCTGATCATATCCTCTCTTAATCTCTATCAAGATTTTTTTTGGTAAATGAAATGTCATTGAAAGAAAAACAAATAAGAACTCAGAATAGAGTGCAGCAGAGATGATACATCCAGGCCAACACCCAGCTCACCAACTATAAAAAGGACAAAGAACAAACAAATATGAACACAATATAGACCCAACTCCTAACTATCTAACTAGAACAAGGACAAAAAATAAAGCATTAAAATTCTTCCAACCAACACACACTAGAAACAATTTTCCCAAAACCAAGATGACCATGAAATATAGCAATTAGCATGAATTATCCCTTCACCTAAACAATAAGCACATCATGGGGTGGTGGCGCAGTTGGCTAGCGCGTAGGTCTCATAGCTTCTGAGTTATCCTGAGGTCGAGAGTTCGAGCCTCTCTCACCCCATTAATTGTTTTTTGTTCTGATCATGTCTTTCTAAGACATGATATGATACATCTGATATAGAGCATATAGTACTGTTTGAGCTGTGTGTGAATGGATCGATCATAATCCAATCTTATTTGGTTGAATTCGGATTACTTCCTCTTCGGATTTTTGAATCAAATAATAGGATCCGGTTAGAAACTGGATTGGATTCAAATCACCCCTATTTGATCCAATATATTATATATTTATAAATATAAATATATAATACATATATATGTTATTTATTTATTTACAAATATATTTTTTTAATTTGTTATATTATTATTTTTTTTTATAAAAAACATGTATATATATGATGAAAATAATTAAAAAATACTTGTATTTATTGTTCTTACTTTATTTAAATTAATATATTTTATTTTTCTTTTAACAATTTATTAATTTTTAAAGAAAACAAGTTAAATCGGATCAGATTCGAGGATCCGACTCACTGATAGGATTCAAATTCAAATCTAGTCCTATCAAATTCCATTGGATTTTTGGATTGGACCGGATCCAACATGAACAATATTGGATATTGGATTCGAATATACCTTGATTCAAATCCGATCCGTTTATGTCCCTAGTTTGAGTCTTGTTTGAAGTAAAAATTATTGCTAATATACATCTGATATATAAGCCTTAAAAAATTATTGTTGATTTTAAACTCATCATCTCACATATCTTCATTGCTTGATACTATGGGTCTCTTGTAATTGTCACAAAGTTGCACACCAGTTGGCCAA